TAGATATTTTATCAAAAAATATCAGGTACCAGCAGCCTTGGTTTCTCAGATGGTTACACTGCACCTGAAGCCCACAGGATGAGCATGTGGTCCTGTGACCTTGGTTGTTGACTGAGCTCTAATGGAACACCCAGCAGCTTCAATAATGGGGTTGCTTGGTGGGCCCCCATCTGTGTTTAACCAGGAGAATGACTCAGCCTGCTGCTGAGGTAATCACTGCTCTCTGATCTCCGAGGGTAGAGATTAGTGAGGGGGTGAACGCAAGATAGCAGCCTGTAACCACAGTTTCTAAATGTGCTTTAATGCTGCGGGAGGGCAATGCTGCCCTGTCTTTTGGAGCTACTCCAGTCCCAGAAGACTGGAACCAAGAGGACCCCATGAGGTTCCAACCTCAGGGCTGGTCACCATGTGTCCTCAAGTATCATTCCAGATGTCCTCTGGTTCTTCTTTCAATAGTTGAAGTTCATAGATCAAGAATGTGAGGCCTCCAGGAGAGAATGTTAGGAAAGCCAGTTAAGGTGGAGAGCAAGGCCTCTTGCCAAAGGCAGTGAGTGGACGCAATCCAGTAATGGCCCTCTGTGAGACCTGGTGATTGATGCAGGGCCTGAGCCATCTTTGTAAATGGCTTTCTTCTGGAACTGTCTCTTACCTAATGAAAAGTGGATAGAATTTGGATTGTGTAATTCAATTTTCATTATCAAGGAAGCTTGACTATATAAATATGATTTTGAGGTTACTTGGATTTGAACTCAGGGCCTATACCTTGAGCCACTCCACCAGCCCTTTTTTGTGAATGGTTTTTGTGTTGGAGATCACAGTTGGAGACCTGTGATCCTTCTGATCTCTGCCTCCTGAGTAGCTAGGATTACAGGTAACCACTGGCACCTGGCAATAAATGTGACTTTGAATGGTACCTCTTTAATTATCTTACAGTGGGCTGGAGAATTAGTGAAACTAACTTCTCAGATCTTCATATTGTATATTTTATAAGCATGCTATATCTTCCTAATGCCTTTTACTTAGCATTCCATCAAGGGAAAAGTGTATGTGTGCATGCATGTTTGCATGCGTTTTTATATACACACATGCACACAACCAGAAAGATTAATTTCTGTTCCTTGTCAAAAATTACAGTATTGATTCTTACGGCTCAAATATATTTAAATCACAAAGAAGAAAGACATGACAAATGAGCATTAGAGAGAAAATGAGTCTTGGAAACACTCAGCCACACTGTCATGCTTGATCAAATGTCAATCGAATGTCTGCTCTGGGGACATCCAGTGTCACCCTGCAGGAGCCCCACTCAGCTGCCTTCTCCTTTGATTGATGCTCTTTTCCTCTCCCCTCCCTGCTCCTGGCCATGAGTGCTCTCCTCTATTTTTGTTTGACCTGAAGCCAGTTGCATGGATTCCAAAAGAAAGAAAGGACCTGGCATGACTTCTGTCCCTTTGAGTCGGCCTGCTGAAATGATCCATAATTCCCAGGCATGACTCTTCTTGTCATTTGAGCTGACACTCACAGGCTTTCTCATGCTTGTTTGAGAACAGACAGCGCCACATTACTCAGCGGTGAAAGCAGGGATGTCACTAAAGGTGGCCTGTATTACTGCTCTCAAGGCCACTTAGAAATCTCATTTTGCTCTTTGGAGATGCCATTGTGATGCAAAGTAGTTCAGGGTTTCATTCCTGGCCAAAGCCCTGTAGGCGAGCCCAGACTGTGTCCTCAGATTCAAGGTTCTCTCCCGCTGCCATTTTCCAGTGTGACACTAACTTTGAGGACCACGACATGAGTGGTGAAAAATATACTTAAAGCAGGGAAACTGCCACAGTCAGAAAGGCACCATCCAGTCTCCCTCTGCTGCAATGCAAATGGCCAACTACACAGGACTTCCCTGTGGAGGTTCCACAAATGAGTAACTGTCACTGGAAGGTCAGCGAAGAGGGCATTTTCCATGATTGTGGCTTCCCCACACCCCCAGTTGTTTTTGCTTCTGGTAAATGACCGTGTTTTCTTCTATGTAGCACTGGACAACTGCGAGCCCCCGACTTCCATGAGCTGCCCCCTCTCCTCCCAGGTCATTCCCCTGTTTCCTGAGCAGCTCGCATTCCCAGCAGGAAATAGCCAGTGACCTTGCATGAGCCCCTTACCCCTCTGGACCTCAGCTTTTTCAACCCTGAACAAAGGCTACAATAGCTCATCGTTCCTGTTGTGGGAATTTCATGAAATCTTGTGCGGAAAGCCCTCCCAGCCGCATGGGCAATCACTCACTGCACGGCTGTTTAGTGAGTGCCTCCTGCAAACCAGACACTGTCCAAAGCACCAAGATACCCAGAGGAGCAAACGCAGGGCCAGTCTCTGTTCTCACAGAGCCTGCAGTCCTCAGAAGACTTGGGCTTTGATAGATAATCACTGGCTTTAGAGCTCCACATTGGGCCAAGGACTAGGAAGAAAAATTACCAGGAGCTTCATTGGCCTTGACCTAACATAAGACTTTTTTTTTCCTTTTTGCCATTACTGGGATTTGAACTCAGGGCCTCATGCTTGCCAGACAGGTCCTCTACCACTTGAGCCATGCCCCCAGCTCTCCTGTTTTTAGTTATTTTTCAGATAGGGTCTCAAGTTTTTGTCAAGGCTGGCCTTGAACTGTGATCTTCCAACCTTTGCTTCCTGTGTATTTGGGATTATAGGCTTGCATCACCACACCTGTCCTCAAAGGACATTTTTAATAACATTTGAGTGGAGATGAGAAGAGCAGTAAGAGAGATCCAAAAGAAAGAGGTATCAGGCTCCTACCAGCCTTGAGGTACTTTTGAACAAATTAAGAGAAGGTGTCACTACCTTGGGGCAGGTGTGACCCCACACCAAGGAGCAGCACCCAGACAGTAGAGCATGGGTTGGCTTACAGGGTCCTTTGGCCCTTCTTCTGGGTGTCCTTGAGCAGAGGGCAACCTGTACAACTATACAGGTACCCCTAGCTGGAGATGGGGATTTTGGAAACAGAGGAGAGCACCTTTGCAAAGGCCCTGAGGTGAGAGGGAACAAGTGTGGCTCATCTGAGGAGCCAAAAGGGCAGCCCAGGCCAGACACATGTATGTGGCTGGTGGGAGGGGTGTCCAGAAAATGCTGGGTAAGGAGAATTTATTATGATAAATTCTCTGCCAGCACACCAAGATCTCCTTAGAAGCACCCTGATCTTTCTAGAAGTGGTTGTTTTTAACTAGTGAGGGGACACTGCAGGGATGTAATTTGCTGCTGTCACACCACTGAGATTTAGAAACTAAGGACAGCACAATGCATGAGGAGAGGTATTTAACATGGAAAGCAGAGAGCCTGGCTGCCCCCAGGAGCAGGACTCCAGCTGAGGACGAATGCTTCTCCACATCCCAGAAAACTGGGCATTAGGAAGGAAGAGGGGAGACAAAAACAGCAACCACCCAAAGCGGGCCACCGCATTACGTGACTAAAAATGGAAACAGCATCAGGGAAAGGTCACTACCATTGCTGTCATCCCCAGGCTGTAATTATCTCTGCAGAGAAGGGAAGACTTCTTTACTTGGTCCCTCACAAGGAGACCCGTCCTGCCAGAAAACCAGACCTGTGACAGCACTGCACTCCCAGGAACGGGCTTGATAACCCTGTGCTCTTCCTGGCTTTGATTTCTTTGATTCTGGAATAACTCAAAGGAGCACTCATTCATTCAGACAAATATACTGTATCAAGGTTTTCTTTCTTTTTGATTCAAAGTTTAGAGGGAAATGGAGCCCCCAGCTCCTGTAGAACCATGTGCTATCGTTGCCAGTTGACTGCAAATTCTGCCAGGCTGGGCATCTGCAAGGAGCCTCCAGATTGAGGTGTGGAATGTCACACACGATCTTGAGGGACGCCAGATGGTTCTGACGCCAATCCTCACTAGGCCACCTATAAGCTGTGTGACCTTATGCGGGTTCATTAGCCTCTCTGTGCAGGCAGTTACTGAAGACTCTAGCTGTATTAGGGAGAGATCTGAGGCTGGGGCTATAGGGATCCTGTACATCCCAGTCCCCAGGTGTAGTTCATTCCTTTGTATTCTGAAAAATTTGTCCCTTGCACTTCGGAGATAGCTGTGCTTTGCTTTGGGGACCTGAAAAACCAGAAGTAAGACAGACTTATACAACCTATCAGCAGTTCATGTGTCTGTTAAACTCAGAGGGGAAAAAAGCATGTAATCATGATTTCTAAATGTGTTATTTTTAAATGATCAAAAAAATCCTAGAGTTGGGCACAGTGGCTCAAGCCTATAAGCTAGCTACTTAAGGGTCTGAGCAAAAAAGTACTGGAAGTGTGGTTCAAGTAGTAGAATGCTAGCAAGCATGAAGCTCTGAGTTCAACCCCAGTATCCCCCAAACCAAAGAACCCAAAAATCTTAACAATAATCTAAAAATCCTACAAGGGCAGAAGCTGTCAACAGCACCAGCCCTTCAGGTACTTCAGTGCTTCTTGAGGTGTAAAAGCAGAACTGAAAAGCCTGCTTGAACTGAGCTGCACCAACCCAGGGTGCATGCTAGCCCGTGGAACATTCCAGTGTTTTGCTTTGGGGAAAGAGGTGGATTATGTCATTTCCCTTCAACATGAAGTTGGAGAAAGAGCCCTTTGTTATGCCTCAGTCGTAACGTAGTCCAGAGAGGCTGATTTTCCTGTGTGTAGCTTTACGTCCTCATGCTTCTATGTCAATAATATCCACTTTGCACATTTAGGACTAACACACAACCTGAAATCTTAAAAGTAGGGCAGAGTACCAGTGATTTAAGATTAAGCTGGTTTTCTTTTTTAACTCAGATTTTAAAACAAGAAGTGCTAGCTCAAGCCTACGCTTTTCTATCAGAAATGACACTATTGCTTTCTAAGGCTGAGGATGGACCCCTTCTTCATCAGAGAGGCCATTATGTTGTCAGAGGAGGCGTTGCTGGGGCCGAAGGATGGATGCTGACAAGATGCATGACCATTTTATTGCTTTTCAGCCCTCGGCCACCAATCCCGCTCTCCCTCCTGCTCACAGAAGAGGAAGCAGCGATCAGCATTCAGTCCTTCTGGAGAGCGTATCTGGTAAGTGTCATGTGCACCTGGGACCTTTGGCTTGGTAGGGAATTTCTGTGACATGGAGAGCCCATGAGAAAACCCTCAAATGGTTGGAGCCATGTCCCCAGTCTTTGTCTGGTCATTTTTGTAGGAGAGATTCTAGAAGGAGAATTTCTAGTTCCAAAGGTGAGTTCCTTTTAAAGTTCCGGATCTGTTATATCATGTGACCCTTCAGGAAGGATTTACTTTAAGAAATTGTCACCAAAAACCTATGAGAGTGGTACGTCTCTCATGCTAAAAAGTATACAGCTTCTCCAATGGGTGATGAGAGCATTAGCAGTTTCCAGGTGGCATCATGGCACCCAGGGCTGAGGTGAGACATCAGCGAGGGCGTTTAGACTAGATACCCGCCGTGGCAAACCCTAGAGGCCACAGATCTCCCAGTGAGGCACTCTTCAGAGCTGGTGTAACTGGAAGGGGCTGAGAGGAACATGAGGGCAGTTATCCACCAGAAGTTAGAGTCACCCTAACAGGCTGCAGTTCATCAGTCAACAAACATTTGTTATGTGGGGCCAGACATTGTGGTGTGCGTCTGTAATCCCAGCTAAGCTGGAGGCACAGGTAGGAGGACTGAGGTTCAAGGCCAGGCAAAAAGCCGGAGACCCTGTCTCAAAAATGACTGAAGCAAAAAGGGCTGGGGTCACGGCTAAACGTGGCAGAGTACCTGCCTAGCAAGCACAAGACTCTGGGTTTAAACCGCAGTACCACCAAAACATATGTATGTGTGTGTGTGTGTGTGTATGTGTGTATGTGTGTGTATGTGTGTGTGTTATGTGCCTGTTAGAGGGACTGTCCTTGACCTCAGAAGCTTGCCGTCTGAGGTGGTGATGTCCAGACATTCCCCTCCTTTGTACTTGCTATTATCCATGTGTGCCTAAAGCAGTAAAAAAAATCCACAGTTTGTACTCCCCACCCCCATTATACCCTACAAACATCTTTGAAATGTGAATTTTCAGTGTTGCACATATTTTGTAAGTGTGGTCTTTTCCTTCATAGTGGAACACACTGGTGAGTTAGCTGAAGTGCAGTGGTGGTGGTCAAGTTCAAGAGGCACTCAGTGTGCGTCTTGAACTCCATCGTTGTCATAGTGTTACATTTGTGAGCCCCATTCTTGTTGCATCGGCACCAGTAATTTTACTTTCTTATTCTTGGTTCCTTTTTATGGAGGGATAAAATACTGAATTTTAGGTTTTATTTTTTTTAAAGTATCAAAACCCATTCTTCGAAGCCTGGCCTGCAACAGTACGAGAGGGTCCGTGTCCTGGTTCCTACCCCTCTACAGACGGGGGAGTAGAGTGGGGTGGGGGTGGGGATGGGGACGGGGAGGAGAGGGGGCGGTGGGGGGCTCAAACTCAGTGCTGTGAACCTGGTGCGAACAAGGATCCATAAGACATTGAATTCATCTCTTCATGCTATATGAAAAGATGTCAAAGTGCTCCAAATGAGCCGGGTGCCAGTGGTTCACATCTGTAATCCTAGCTATTTGGGAGACTGAGATTGGGAGGATCACGGTTCAAGGCCAGCCTGGGCAGGGAGTCCACAAGACCCCCATCTCAACCAAGAGCTGGGTGTGGTAGACGCCTGTCACCACAGGCTATGTGGAAGACTGGGATAGGGAAGATGGAGGTTCCAGGCCAGCCTGGGGAGAAAAGTTCGTAAAAAGAAAAGCTGGGTTTGGGGGCACATACCTGTCATCCCATCAATGTGGGAAGCTTAAAATAGGATTGTGGTGCAGGCTGACCTTGGCACTCCAAATTAACCAGAGTAGAAATGCTAGAATTATGACTCAAGCAGTGGAGCACCTGCCTACCAAGCATGAAGTTCTGAGTTCGAACCCCACCACTGCCTCAAAAGAAAAAAGGCTACAAATGTAACTGTGACTGAAGACCATCATCACACAATAGCTAGAAATACTGCTTGAAGGATAAAAGACAAGGATCAGTGTATGACAGCTCACTGTATGAGATTTCAGGTATCGAGGCTAAACCTCTCCTCTACAGAAATCATAACCCAGGGGGACAGGAGAGGGGAAAGATCTGAAGCTGTCACTAGTGGGGAAAGCTGTCTGTTGTGTGGGACGACCTTGGAAGGAAGACAGGCACTTGATCTCAGCCCAAGAAAAGGTGTGCACTGGTGTGTGGGCTAGGACCAAGAGGAACTGCAGGAGAGGAGACAGTGCATATGTGTATTATGTCACTGTCATGAAACCATGACAGTGCCTAGGAACATACGTGCATAGGAAAACACCTGAAAGAAAACAGGCCTCTGACAACATTGGGCACCTTGGGCAGTTAGGAACGAGCTAGAAGACTCTAGCCTTCTGTGCATGCAGACTGTTTACAAGAACATGTAGTGTGCTTACAGGTGGGGGTCACACTCAGGCTGAGGCAGGAAGAGCGAGAGTTCAAGACCGGTCTGGGCTACAAAGTGAACTGTCACAAAACAAAACAAAACAGATCAACTCATACCATGCCATCATCTCAGTGGATTCAGATAATGTATTTGACAAAATCCAACATGCTTTTATGATTAAAAAATACTCCACAAACTGGAAATAGAAGAGGATTTCTTGAGGTTTTTTTTTTTTTTTTTGGTGGTACTGGGTTTGAACTCTGGGCCTTACACTAGGCAGATACTTTACTGCTTGAGCCACTCTACAAGTCACATTTCTTGTTCTTAATAAAAGGCGTGTGTGCAACTCCACAGTTAACATCATTTAACGATGGGTGGCTCCCTAAAATTAGAAACCAGAGAAAGTGTCCACTCTTGCTACTCAATTTAACATGGCACTGGAGGTTCTAGCTAGAGAAATTAGGCAAAAAAAAAAAAAAAAAAAGAAAGAAAGAAAAGGTATTTGAATTGGAAGGGAAGAAGCAAAACTGAATCTAGCTATAGATATTCCCCCCACATACACACACCCTATTAGAATTAATAAGTTCAGCAAGTTTGCAGGATACAAATTACTTAAATTTAAACTTAACAATGAACAATCTGAAATGCAGTTAACAGGCAATCCAATAGCATTAATGCATAGCATTAAAAAGAATAAAATACTGGGGAAAGAATTGAACAAAAAAAGTGCAAGCTTGTACACTGAAAACCACAAAGCATCACTGGAAGAAATTAAAGAAGGCCTACACAATTTTAATCAATGTTCGTTGATTAGTGGGAGGGGGAGGATCTAAGGAAAGGTTGTAGGAGGGTGAATATGGTGGAAATATTAGGTACTCATGTGTGTAAATGGAAAAATGAGACCTGTTGAAACTATTCCAAGAATGGGGGAAGAGAGATAAAGGAGAATGATGGAGGGGGGTTCAACTATGATATGTTGTAAGAACTTTTGTCACAATCTACCTCCAGTGCAACAATAATGTGATAATAAACAATTTTTTAAATATTCATTGATTAGAAGACTTGATACTATAAAAAACAGCAATTGTCCCTAAATTGACCTTCAGATTCAACACAAGTCACTATCAAAATCACAACTCATTTTCTTAAAAGACATTGACATTATCCTAAAATTCACAAGCAAATGCAACAGATCCAAATAGTCAAAACAATCTAGAAACAGAAGAACAAGGTTGGAGGATTCACACTTCCTTATTTCAGCACTTACTGCTGAGCTACAGTGATCAAGGCTGCGAAGCTTAGCATAGGACAGACAGAGATCAATGGAATAGAATTGAGAGTCAGGGAAGACATAAAGTCATAAATCGTATTTATGGGTCATTGATTTTCCAACAAGGGTGCCAAATCACTTAATAGAGATAGAATAATCTTTTCAACAAATGGTGCTTGGACAAGTCAATAATCCACAGCAGAAAAGTGAAGTTAGCTGGGTGCCAGTGGCTCATGCCTGTAATCTTAGCTACACGCGAGGCAGAGATCATGAGGATCACAGTTTGAAGCCAGCCCAGGCAAACAGTTCTGTGAGACCCTATCTTGATAAGACCCATCACAATAAAGGGCTGGTGGAGTGGCTCAAGGTGAAGGCCCCTGAGTTCAAGCCCCAGTATTGCAAAAAAAAAAAAGTTAAACCCTACTTCATACAAAAATTAATTCAAAATGAATGAAGGACCCAAATGAAAGTGCAAGAACTATAAAATCTTAAAACATGGACGTAAAACTTTAGGACTTTGGATTAAGCAACAATTTCTGTAACCAAAAGGACAAGGGACCAGAGCAAAATGTCTGTCCTTCTTTTTGTCTGTCTTTCTGTCTGCCTTTCATTCCGTGTTTCTTTCTTTCCTTTTTTTTTTTGAACTATTATGTTCCAAAGAATACCAAGTGAGTGACTGACAACTCACAGAGTGGGAGAAAATATTTGCATATCAGGTATCAAATACAAGTCTAATATCCATTATATGTAAAGAATTCTCACAACCCAACAATAAAATACCAGTAATGCACAAAATTGGCGAAGGATTTGAATAGACATTTCCTCAAAGAATAGAATATATATGAATGGCCAATAAGTGGTGAGAAGATACTCAGCATCCCCATCATCAGGAAATGCAGATCAGAACCATGAGATGCCACCCCATGCTCACCGGCATGGCTGTGATAAACAGACAACAGCAATTGGGCTGGCAGAGTGGCTCAAGTAGTAGAGCACCCTCCTAGCAAGCATGAGGCCCTGAGTTCAAATCCCAGTGCTGCCAAAAAAGTGTTGGTGAAAATGCAGAAAACTTGGAAGCTTCATATACTGCTAATGAAAATATAAAATGGTGCAGCCACTTTGGAAAACAATTCAGCAGTTCCTCAAATAGAGTATCTACTGTATGACCAGTAGTTTATCTCTCAGGTGCGTATTTAAGATCATTAAAAATATCCACACAAACACATTGAAGCATTATTCATAACTGACGAAAGGTGGGAACAATTCAAAACATCAGGATAAATAAAATGTGAGATTTCCATATGCTGGAATATTATTTAGCCATAAAAAGGAATACATGCTACAA